CACTGAATTTGAGGGGGAGAAAAGGAGGAAAAAAATCAATAGTCAATGCCAAATCTCAGGCGTGTTCAGGATGTATAGTTCCATGACACCTTTTAAACACCGCTTTTAAAAATAATATTTGGTATAGTATTTGGTAGCTAAATAATTCCATATGTGTCGTTTTTACAGTGGGGCATGCCCTGCACAAATTAATAAAAAAAATTTAATAATATTTAATATGGATAAATTATAATGATATCTCTAAATAATCTTTAAATCTATAATAAAATCAATATAAAATAACAAAAAAAAAATATAATAGAGTTATGCTATTTTATTTTTAATAATATAATAGAGTTATGCTATTTTATTTTTATGAGTACCAGAACAACTACACTATTTAGAAAAAATTGAAAAGATCAAAACACCATTGAATAATAAGCATTATATTATTTTATTCTAGATTTAAATTATTAATTTTACTATATAATAAAAAAATAAAAAAATTAATCTAACCCTATACAAATTATATCATAGTGAAAATATCATCTTCTCTTCATTGCCTACCTCAAAGTTTTCCTGGGATGAGGGCAATTCTATTATTTTACTATTCAAAGTGGAATGTCTCTTCTTTGGCTATAGTAATTTCTCCAACTTTTGTCGTCTTTTTTAGTCATAATAAGTAATTCATTGATTAAACCAGAGCATAATTGTATTTTTTTTAGGCTTCCTTGAGCTTGGTCCTTGCTCCGCAGAAACACTGGCAAATGGCAAGCATAATGAACTCAAAAGGGAACCAAAAGAAATTATGAGAGTGACTCCTTTTGCGAGAGGAATTGATGATGACTGTTGAGAGAAAAAACCTTCTTCACTGGGATGATTCCCGTCTTCTTCCAAGAAACCTCTTCCTTGAGGGTTTTGATAATCCCATTGACCTTTGGCAGGTGTTCATATACAGCCAAAATCTATCCCTGGCAAATTCAAATCTGCAATGTTTCCACCTTACATCATCCTCGAGAAAAAACCAAGATTTTCCAGATTGAGCATGACATCTTGACGACTGAAAACAATGTTAAGATCTGTCACAAGCCTAACACCCCGTGCTTCTCTAAGTATCTCCCTAAATTCATTCTTGTAATCAAGGATAAATACTTGATCCATCCCGTGAAGACTCAACGCCATATGATAATGATGTTTGCTTGAATGCAATAAGCTCCACAGTGCTAGTCAGTCACGTAATTCTGCAGTTGCAAGTGATGGTCAAGCAAGCAATTTACTTGTAAGCATTATCAAATCTCTATTGAATGGATAGAGATAATAATCCCTGTTAGGAAAAGAAAAGAAAAGAAGAAGAAGAAGATTCAAGGTTCTTCACTTATCAAAATCATAATTAATGCGGGATAATAAGCTACAAGAGTATTAAAAACATAGAAAGAAAGAAAGAAGCAGATGACTAAAAGCAGAGAAAGAAAAACTAGGAAGAAGAGAGATGAGAAAAAAGCCTATCATTCTATCAAATCATCAAAATTAATATAATATCTCAAAAGCTACATATAAATAATAAATTTATTTGTCCCAGCCCACTAAATAAAACCTCAATAAATAACTTAAATAAAAAATACAATAAAATAAATTTGGATAAACCCAGTCTCCTAACTAAAGAATGACAAGTCAGTCATCCTCGTATCCCCACCAATAATTCATACCCATGTTAGAAGTATCAAATATAAGATTCGACAATAGACCTGTATGGTGACCGATCCACATGACTTGCGGCTCGCAGTCAAATGGTCAATAATTTGGAAAGCAAATTAGATAATTAAAAGTTGAGATTTAACAATAAGAAGTTACAACGCAAAATTTTGTAAGGTCATGGAAAAAGAGCAGCTTTATCGGGTGGCAGGGCGATCTGATGTTACTTGAATTCGCACCATCTGAGATGAGGAAGGCCGGTATGCACAGCCTCTTGCAGTGGAAGTGATATCCGTCTCTGTCAAACAAATGCAGAACCGTGGAAGATGACTGGCTGACTAGACCAATCGGAGAAATGGATGGCGTCGAGCATGGTGGATTACTCATTCCTGGTTTCTCATCCCAAAAACCATATCATCATTATCCAACCCTCCACACAAAACAAATTTGTGTCTTGCTTATAACCCTGCCAAAGCAAATACCTACCTTAAACAACTCTACAAAGAAAAGCCATGTGATCAGTTTTGTCTGTCCAGCAAGAACAAGATGAGGAAACCAAAGCTCTTGGGCAAGAATTGGGTGCATATATAAACAAGAAATATAATTCAAGCAGCATAAAGCTTGTTAAAATGGACTTAGAGAGTTCAGTTTCTGGCTAGGGCCTTGAGGGATCCCCTTACTGTACCTAAAAAATGGACATTAGAGTAGTCTATTCACCAAATCAAGAAGCTGCATCGTCGATTGCTCGGAATCTTTGTTTTCATGTGATGAACCATTATCAAGAAGATATCGGACATGTTTCTGAAGCATTTCCAAGGTACTAACGCAAACAGCTAAACATTTTAATTTCTGCCATCTCCTGAATATTTCAGATGCATTGTGCAGATATTGAAAATTATCAATCCCAAATTTAATAAACTATGTTACTGCAATCAAATTACAAATGAGGACAAAAGCATTCAAAAAGACAATATCCAAAATAAGAACTAAGATGGGAAGGTCATGAATTATATTTACCACCATTCAGTTTGGTCGCAGATGCCCTCAAAACACTTGTTTCTATTAATGTAAGAATAATTGCTTTGTCTTGCTCGACAGATTTTTTACCAAAAAACTTCAACCATTAAATCTATAAGATATATCAATGAGATCTACTCGTTCATGCTCTGGGATTTTTCTACAAATGGTTCTAGAAAAATACATTCCAGAAATTAGCATCACTCTGTAATACATATCTAGTTCCAGATACGACATTAATTCCTGTCAATATGAAGTCAATATAAAGCTGTGATTCCATTTTTTGAGGTGTCAAGATTTAAGGTTCATGGACATATAAACTACATAGTATGAACCATTTCATGCGATTTAAATGTAGAAATCCGTGAATGAGATCCATATGCGGTTGGTGTGGTTCTGTTTTTGTTTTTTTAAAAAAAAATTACTCAAATTTCACATGTGTGATTGTGAAAGATTCTAGGATGTTATAGCATCTCTTCCATGAACATATTTTCCACCAACGCAAAAGAGAACGATACATCATTCCAAATGCCATTATAGATGGCGACTTCTGTTAATTGAACAGCCTCGTATGTGTTGCGACACGCATTAACAATTTTTTTGGGTAATAATATTTATTCTTTGAAAATTATCAAATATACTTTAATAGAACCTAAAAATAAATAAAAAAATAATAAGAAAAGGATGAAAACGCACTTGAAACCAGACTTTAGAGGGTTTTTTATTGTAAGGGCAATTATATCACTTTATTATTCTTAAAAAAATAAAAAGATAAAAAAACCCTATTAAAAAATAAAAAGATAAAAAAGCCCAGTGTGCAAGTTCTTTTAAGGGTATGAGTTTATTTTTACTATGTAAATAATATTAAAAAGACAAAAAACCCTCTAGACTGAAATTATATATTTTTTGCTTTTAAAAATAATAAAATCAATTTATTGTAAGCAAATGGACCAATTTGTTCACAATCAATTTATAATGTACAATGAATTCCCTTAAAAAAAAAAACATTCACCCCAAATTGCAAGCCTTGTTAGTTTTTTAAAGAAATGTAAAAACATCATTTTTATTATTTTAATGAACAATGATTTGTGTCTTGAGTCTCCTTATGCTTTTTAATTATTATTTTTTTTTATAATTGTAATAAAAGAATTATTCTCCCTGCTTACTTGCATTCCCTTCCTAAACTTGTTATTTTAAATATTCGAGCCAATAATTTGTTTTAATAAAAAAATATTTTTTCTGTACCATAAATATTTTTTTTTAATATCATTCAAAAAAATTTAGTTTCAATGATCTGAAGATATTTCTTACCATGAAAACAAATAGATTAATAAAAGAAATTAACGGTTATTTTATTTATAGTTCTAAATTTGTATGTGCGGGACATTGAAATTTGCAACTCAACACCAGCACTCACTCTTCTTTTCATTCTTGTGATATGAGAATATATATATATATATATATATATATATATATATATATATATATATATATATATCAGACTAGTACAGGTTCAACAAATAATTATTTGTGTAGGGGTAATGTCAGGAGCACTACAAGTTTTCATAATATAAATGACGTGATATTTATTATAAAAAATTTATTATAATTAGATGAGTGTAGTATTATAGCATTGATTATTACAACTACTTTCTGGAAAATATATTATAAAAATATTTTTTAAAACAATTAATTTTAATATTAATATATCAAAACAACATAAAAAAATTAATTTTAAACAAATAAAATTAAAATTTCGACAAACATTGTTTCAAAGTTCCAAACAGCGACTTAACGTTTTACCAGTATGTGTTAACTGTTGCAGGCATTACTTTGCTGGAAAATTTATTATAGAGTACTATTTTAATTATCAAATTTCAAAGGCAACGATTTTGGAAGTAATGAACAAAGATATTGGTGAATATCACCAGATGCTAAATATTTTGTGAAGTATCTAAATTAACAGGAAAAAAGAAGAAGAAGAAGAGGAGAGAACCAATAGAACAAGGTGAAATTCAAGAAATCGTCGTGGGAAGCCAAGCCCTATCCAACAAGGAAAAAACATATTTCCAGACACAGTAACCGGTGTTTTGGGCATCTTCAAGAACTGACTTTCGAATTCTGACATCCTCCACAACTTACAAAGATTCCTAGAAACAAAATCCAAAAATAATTTGCACTCTCAGTTCAGTGCTTCTCCTTAGCAAACTGAAAAAAGAAATCTTTGCTAGGAGAGGCAACACAACATGAACACCACACCACCACCAGCACCGTTACCAGACCTAATATTATCATTAGAGCAAGCAGCGCTAATGGCTAAACAACTCCCATCAACATCTGACCCAAACCACCTTCTCCAAATCTACTCCTCTCTCCACCAAGCCCACCACCACCTCTCCTCCATCCTCTCCCAAAACCAACTTCCTTCTTTCCCTCTTCCACCACCACTACCACAAGAGAACTCTCTCTCGTCGGCCACTGGAGCTGATGAGAATGGGAACGAGCCTATGCAAGTAGGTGATGATGATGATTATGAAGAGAATTCCAATGAGGTGGTGTCTATTGATAAAGTGGAGGTGAGGATGAGAGATTCTTTTATTAAGAATAAGAGGCCTAAAAGGCCTCTTTCCCCATCAACGGTGGCCGTGGCTGAGGAGAGGAGGTTGTCCGATGATGGGTTTGGGGGAGGGATTATGGGTTTTGATCCTCATGGGACTAGGTTGAGGGCTTTGGATCTTATCTCCCAGTTTCATGGCTGATAATTAATTATTGGGAAGGAACAGAGCAGAGGAAACAGAGGGCAGAGCAGGGGAATTTTGCTTGCATCGTTACTAGTGATGAAAGTGAGTTTTTGGAATGAATGATTGGGTTTCATTTAATTTACTAGATTTTATTTTTCATCTGTCATTATTTTACTTTATTTTGAGAATGCCATGGCACAAAATGATGCAATTGAAATTGGATTTATGAGATGATGTATTACATTACGAGTCTCATATTATTATCCCTATTCTGGGATTTGACATATTCTATGATTTTAGCTCGTCTTTTAGCACTTCTCAGAAAAGATTGCCTTCAGCCTCTTTTCTTCCGACACGAATTCGTAAAGACCATCACATCTTTTTGCATTAAATAATTTTCTTATATACAATCTGAATTCTAATCAATGTCACAGTTAATCCCCTTTTCATTAATAATATAACACGATCATACACTGGGATTTCCGAAATTGTATGTGGTAGCAAATTGAGTATGCTGATTCCACTCTTTAAACACTGCAAATTGGGTCCGCATCCCAACCAAAGTCGCTTGAATTCATCTTCTACCAGGAAGATCCTAGTACTGAAATTCCCGTAATGTGGTTTCTATCGTTGAGGTTCCTCATCCTGTTTGATGACATTGATTTGCTGCAACTCCAGAGATGTATGACACGGTGTCCGGCAATCTTGTCTTAGGTATCTTCATTAACTCTCTCCCAACACCAAAAACCCTATGCTCTCACAATAGAATTGTGCAAATTAACGAAATCATCCAAGGTAAGCTCCTCCGGTCTTGACTGGACATGATGAATAGATTTCGAAGGATTAGTCTAGAAATGTCATAAGTAATTATCAAGGTGAAAATGGAACAGAGGGAAACCCTACATCATTAAATAGCACTTACAGTGGCTAGACAACCAACATTTTGAAGAGCTTCTTCAATCTCAACGGGCGTGCATATGTGTTGAAGTGATTTTCGCAGCATCTTGCGTTTCCCATTAAATGCAGAATTCACCTATATCCACAAACGGGCTTGATTAAAAAAATGTCCCAATTTGAACAGGAAGCCAGTCAAAGGTTTAGTCTAAGTTCCTCCATGGCCATGCCTTTGAAGAGAGGTAAAACATAAGGTAGGCTGGTAGCATTGCCAAAACTAATAGTAAAAGGCACAGTGCTTTTATAATTCTTTACAAGAGCTAGAAGTTTTAAAACACAAGAAGTTGTGCTTAGAGAAGAAACAACCATAGAGAAGAAGCTTTTAGTGGAGGAAACTGCTGGATAGTCCACAGCTTGCTTGAGCTTAAACCTAACGACAGCAGCATCAACCTGCAAAAAGATTACATGACAGCTCTGTTATATTCTTTGAACAAAGTTAAAGCAGAACATTATTCTGAATATGCAAGCATAGGGAACACTTGATGACTCATAAGACTGCCTTTGGGCATAGAGTTCTGCAAAACATGTATTTGAACACATATGAAAACCGTTTACTTACTTTGGGCTGAGGAAAAAAATTTGACCTTGGGACCTTAAATTTGTATTCAGGATCTGGAAACAGAACCACATACTGAAAAATAAGTCTAAGGAAATAATGCATATTTCTGCAAAATATCATGTACTTGGTGGAAAAAACATAAACTCTATATAAAGAAATAAAGTTGTTTTATGCATCATTTAGCCTATATTATTAGACGGAAAAGAATCAACTTTCCGATTGCATTTAAATTTATTGGACAATTCATAATAACTGGAAACAAGAGTAAAAAAAATTCAAAATGAAAAAAAAAAAAAAAAAAAAAAAAAAAGCAATAGGAAGAAGAGTGGAAAAACATGTATTCGTTAGCAAAAACACATTTGCAGATTGAAGACTATTAAAAAAATACTGGCAGCAAAAGTCGAGGGGCAGCTGTTCAAAGCTATCAAGTTTTACTTGCAGGCTTGTAGTTGCTATGAATGTAAAATCTCAGATCAAAAACAGTACACATCAAACTAGGCAAGGACCCATAGACCCGGAGTCGCTCAATGACCGGTTAAGAGTTAAAACAGATTTATATTGCAGAGATACCTGAATAAAAATTAACAAAGATATTGATGGGCCGGTATTCTGAAGTTCGCAGGGAAGATTCCACTAAACGCAAAGCTGTCTCATCCTGAAAATGATTAAGTCATACTAATGACAACAAGCCAAAAGTGTTTTGCACCATATAAATCAGTCAGCTGCTTAAACTTTTCAACCTCGTTAATCTGTCAATCAACTAGATCAAAGTTTATGGTTCATTGATTAACATGCTCCTTAACCACAGACACCTTTCTAAAAAAGAAACATATATGGATTTTACTGCTTTGTACCAAGGTTCGGTGCATTTCCCTGTTATACATCATCAAAATTCAAGATTTGCCTCATTTTTGTGCCTAAGCTTTACAGTTATCCAATTATGAAACCAGATTTCATATTTCATGGTTGCATTTCCCTTGAACATAGAAAGTTCTTCATACCTTTAAGCATATTACAACATGGATGACAAAATGCACATGCATTTTAACAGAAAACAGAGGAAAGGATGACATGGTTCAAGCTCGGTGCCAAGGAACATTAAGTCTAGACTATTGGATAACTAGATCATAAGTCTTAGAGTGAAAATGAAGGCAGTTACTTGATAGGTAATGAATTAATATCAGGAAGGTGGCATTTCACACTTCCTCACCTGGAGTAAAAGAACGATTTCAGAGAAAATGTCACCCATTGGAAGCAGTTGCTTGATTACATCTGTACTTATATTAAATGGTATATTAGCAACCACCTACACAGATAAACACACATACACTAACACAACTCAATCCCGTGCAAAGGAAAAGAAAAATCTTTCCACGGCTCATTAAAACGCATCTACTCAAACAAGGTCTCACTTTTGCATATCTCGGTTTTTCACTCAAAGATCCCATACTCTCTAACATCGAAAGCATGTGGGATCGAATGTGACACTTGATGAAGTCCTCTTGCAAAACCTAGAATGTACGGGAAATTAACAAAACAACATTATTAACAGTAACCCACGATAAGAGAATACATAATTTATGATCAAAATCAAAATGCACCTTGAAACGATTTGTATCAGCAAATCTTTCCCTCACTAAAGCAGCCATATGAGCATCCTATATGTTACAAATTTACAAAAAAAAAAAAAACTTTCATAACCAACTAAGTTTATAACAAAAAAAGCGGAGCTACAAACAATCCAATTAACCTTACTTTCTCAATAGCAAGAACAGTTGCACCAGCATCAATAAGAACATTAGTCAAAGAACCAGTCCCAGGTCCAATTTCAAGAACCAACTCACCCTCTTCAACATTAGCTGAAGAAACAAGTTGCTCGTTAATCTCATCATTCAACATATAATGCTGCAACATTTACACCAACCAAGTGTTTGTTAAAACGCCTAAGTGAAAAAGCATAAGGAAATCCGTCAATATTCTTATAAAAACAAAATGGGTATGTGTAAAACCTGGCCTAGTGATTTCCTCGGTCTTCGATCTCTAGAATTGAGAGCTTTCAGAGTCGCATGGTAATCATCTGGACTTCTTTTAGAAGCGCACGTTATGTCTAGTGTTCGCTTTGGAGGGCTTGTTAAGCTATTGTGCGCCAAGAGTGAAGGATTGCGTGGAGAAACCGAAATTGGCGGGAGAGATTGCAGGAGATTTGGTGTCGCAGTTGATCTCATTTTCTTCTTTACGTTCTCTTTGTTTTTCAAATTCCAAATGATAGAACTTTTAGCTGTGTGGACTGTGGATAACAGAGACTCGGGCAAACCTCATATTAGTCACCCAAGTATATATATTTTCTCGATCGAGCCCTTCAGACACAGCTTTTATCATTTGAGCCTTTCCTCAATCGAGTTTTTTTATTAAATAATTAGAGACAACATTAAATATGTGTTATTCTGTGTGTTCTAACTAACCCTAATTCCCCCACGCTCTCACTGAGACCCTAATTTTGCTCCTTTTTATTGAAATAATTGGATAAACCACTTTTTACGCCTATAAATCCAGCAATGCTTGCATGATTAATCTCCATAGATAAATAAATAAAAAACCATGTTCAGCACTTTATCTTATCGAAGCATTATCAATGCACACTAACTGGTGGCCTCTTGTCAGGTTTGAATTTTGTTGTCAGTAATTTTCTGTTTAATTAACTTTTCATGTCCAAAATATTAGTCAAGGTAAAGTGCACCACCAATTTCATGTTTTCAAGGTTGAAATGCCCACGAACCAATCTATTCTAACCATGAAAACCTGGCACAAAGAAAAACAACATTATATAATATATTCAGATACTAAATTCTGTTTCTAATGAAATTGTGAAAAAAATTCCATCCCAGTTGTGTTACAGTCCTGATTTTAGCTGTTTCTGTAAAATAGTTTTTCGTGAATGAAGTACACTCCAATATTTATATCAGTAAGTATATAAAAGAAGAGAAAATGCAAAAAGAAAAGCGAAGGGTGTGTGTGGCTTTGTGGCTGGCAGGATCTCATTCCCCTGTATTTCGTGAGTCTAAGTGTATTTATACATTTGGTATAGTACTGTAATTTTTTCATGGAGGAGAAATCTTGTCATTGGCCAACCAAGTGATTTATGCAACAACTGATGTGTTAAAATGGTGAATCAAAATATCAGTTTTTCTATGGCTGGTATGTAAGTGGAGGAGGAATTGATGTGACACTAGTGGACTAGGTATGCTCAGTTTTATTGGTATTCAAGTGGGCTGGTGGATGTAGCATAAACAGAGCTATTAGTGATAGAATACTTCGCCTGTTCTGTAATAATCTTGTGTGTGCTAGGAAAAAAAGGAGTGCGAAATGTGTAACCCATGCTGTTGTACAGGAGGAGCAGACAATGAAGTAAATTCCTCTGGCACATAGTTAGCCACCACTTCAGGACCTTGATATGATATCTCATTTTGACCAGATTATTGGGACATGCTTTTCATTAGTTTGTACCATGTTCCCGTGATCAAATGAATTCCCATCTGTAGTCTGTGTTTCATGAGCCAAAGTCTGAAAGAACAGAGAAGAAAGAAAACAAACAAATAATGAAGCAAGAAACTGAAGGGTAGAAAACCAGATCGAAAAGAAATGAGAAACAAAGAAGGGTTAATACAGAATGTTCTTAACAAGCTCAACTCTGTCCACCTGTGGGACATGGACTTCTGTTACTACAAGGTCAAGTCTTCCTTTTCTCTTCTGAATGAACCCTAGAGAATCAGCTGCCTTTTCATAACGGACAACTGGGAAAGAAATGAAAATGAAAAAACTGTTATATCGAAGAGCTCAAGATCATAGCACCAAATACAAAACAAGGAATCACAAAAGTTTACCTTCATACTTGCATGTTGCATTCTTGAAGTATTCCAGTCACAATACTGTGGCATGCGGGATCATTATTCACAACCAGAATATTGAATTCTTAAGGAAAGTTTTGGGGTTTCGTTGATTTAACGGGCCTGGAGATATATTATCCATGCTTGAGAAAATTGTTAAGGCTAATCCAACACACACATATATAGGAATCGACATGCCTTTGATACAATGTTATATTTTACCAAAGAAATATTTAGACTAAAAAACATGTGCTATTAGATAAACTTTTAATATATAATTTATATTATTTTTTAAATTAGTTTTCTTAAATTAATATTATTTAGGTTTAAAACTTACATATATTCACATTATTTTATAATATTAATTAATTTTTATTTATAAAAAATAAGACTATAAGATTTTAATTTATAACTATTTGGTCAGTAAAACTCTAATATTATATTAAAAAATCAATAATTTATATTATTTTTTAATAATTTTTTATTTAAAATTTTAAATTCTATAGCCGGAAAAAAACTTGCACCCATGAGTGTATAAATTGTGTGGCAGGAAGGGATACAAATTGCAATTGGGACAAGGGAAATCTAGTTTGTCTGGTCAAAATTGTGCTCTGGGTTACAGATATGCTTGTTACCAAATTTGTCTACGATGCATCCAAGCTATGTAATTTGCTTCAACGCCAATTAATTGCTAACCATATAAATTGTAATCTCAAAGTGGTAATCCTTTTGAGATTGGTGATCCAGCATTTGATTGTCCTGGCAGGCACATGTTTTTTGAGTGGAGTGATCTCACTCCGCTTCGCTCTGAGAAATTCCACAGGCACAGGCCTGTTTGCCAGTGTATCATTTGAGGTGGTGTTTAATAATCCTTATGTCATGGGAGTTTTGAAAACATTGAAACAGGCATGATTCCATTTTTTTTTTCTTGGAAAATTTCTTTCTTAAAATATGTAGTATTTAACAATTACATTGAAAGGAATAGAGTGAAAAAAATCCAATCATCCTCCTGTTGCATGAACTTTAGGAACATGAAGTAGCACAAGATGTCATAAAGAGGTAGCATTTTATTCTCTGAACCACACCATAAAAAGCTACAAATATCCAGTTATTTAAAAAAAAAAAAATCGCCACACAGGGAGATTAGTTTATGACATTGCAAACAGGAAAGGAGCAACAAAATAACAACAGACAGTTATTAATTTATTGGCATTGCAAACAAGGAAAAAGCAACCAGATAACAGTATTTTAACAGATTATTAACTGTAAAACTAAATGCCTCAGCAAACAGTCAAATTCAGATAACGTCTCCAACAATTGAAACCCTTTGGCCAGTGTCTGCTGCGTCGTCAGTCACCCGTGACCAGATTCAAAGTTTTCAGGGATCTTGCTCTCCATGTTATAAAGCACCAAAGCCAACTTTGGAGTCGAGGGCCACTTCAAAGCCTTGTTGTTGTAAGCATTCAAAAATGGTTTATAAGTAGAAAAATAAAGTGACACTAGAAATACAAGCAAATAGAATTGTAATTACCCTACAGTAACTTAACGCATGAAGCAAGCATTTAAAAAGCAGCACACAAAAATCATTAACCTACCAGAGATCATTATTAGGATCTTCAAGGAACTCTTTTTCCATCAACAACAACTCAAGCTCTTCCACTGTTGCAATATCAAGAATGTCAGATTCATCTTCTTTCTCTGGCAGTGGTTGAGGCTGTGGCAATGGAAACTGAACCTGCTGCTGAGAGTTGCCCAGGAATGTTGGGCCATGAGTTCCGATATTGGACAGAGCGGTTCCTTGATTGAGATGTTCTTCCACACTATGATTTCCCTTCTGACCAAAACTTGAAAAGTTCCCATCAGTAACAGTCATAATTTCAGTATGATTGGAATTGGGGTAAGACGTGTATAGCTGTTTGCTTTGTGAAGCCACTTGCCCATAGTTAGGAATCAATATGCCATTATAGTTTGAGTTCACATGTGTAGGAGAATGCACAGAACCAAGGGAATGAGCAGACATGGGACTACTGAGATTATTCTGGAAATTGTTTCTGTATTCTGATTGAGATGCTGTCATGAAGAATTGAGAGTTTGTGTATTGGGAGAACCCTCCTTGTAGATTAAAAGTTGATGAAGGATGGCAATCTCTAATCATGGTCTTCTGCATTGCATCTTGTTCCCGCTTCAAGTAAAGACGATATTTCTGAAAACATAAAATTCAAAGTCACCTCAGGACCCTTTTTTTTTTTTTTCTAGTGGTTGCTAGAAGCAAATGATTCCATTTCTTAATCCCGCAATGCACAAGGACGACTAAGTATACAGCAACATAATTCAATTATTCTAGAAAATCAACATTACTACTGTGTTTTGCAGATATCCCACAGAAAAATAGATGAAAAATATGCTTCCTCGGGCCAATTATTTACCATGTTTAAAATATTAAGCTTCAAATAGTACTCACAACATAGACATGCCTAGTACTCAACCAATAAGATGGACACATCTGCAATTTTATAGAGAACAAACCTGTAAATGGCTTGAAACATTTTCTTTCTTTAGCCCTGGGACATTCATGTGCTGAAGTATTTTCTTTGGATGGGCACCTGCATTGATAATGAGATCTAAGGGATAACGGTCCATATCGTCAACAGAAAAGACAGCGACATAAAAAAGTTATTATGCAACTTGTCAAGAATCTTTTACCATCAATGCCTAATATCCTGATAGCTTGCAAGAATCTGTTATGCAGCTCATTAGTCCAAACAAGCTTTTGCTTCTTTGGAACAGTCAAATTCTTATTATCTTTGTCATCCTTGTCTGTCTCTTCTAGCTCCTTTCTTTTTCCCTTTTGATCAGTCATCCCCATGGTACTTGATGGGTTCCCTCCAGTCAAACTTGAAGCATTCTCCTCTGATGACCCCCCATGAAAGCTGTTTGATCCTTCACCAGATACAGCTTTCTTTATTTTTGTTCTAAATGTTAACTGCCAAAGGTTTTTTACATCGTTCTTGATGACTGGCTTCATAAGATAAAGTGCAGCCCCTTTATACAGGCAGCCTAACATAGCGCTCTCATTGTTATCAGCTGAAAAAACTGCGATAGGAATAAAACAAACAAAACCAAATCTTAAAAGTTTTTTAACTAAATAACAAGCATCTGAAGGAATAAGAATGATTGCTGAGGTTGAATCAAAGAGGCTACTTACCAACAATGGGTAAAGAAGACAATTTTCCCACAGTCTCAAGGATCTCGTATTGATCCATATCAGGCAAATGAGTTTCTGTCAAAATCAGGTTAATTTCATCTTCTTTCTCCCTTAAAATGCGCAATGCATCAGTGGCTCGTGTAGCAGTTGTGACTACAAGCACAGCAGTATAACAAGATTTCAGTATACGATTTATCAAAAAAAAAAGTATCCGATACTTGAATTTGACCATTCCATCACAAGAAGACAAGCTACGCACTCCTCAATACTTAAAAGCCATGTGGCTGGAGGTGGTAAAGGTTCGTTTAACTTTTTTAGACCAAATGGAGCGTATTAGTTTAAACAGAAAATACCAGATTTTGCTCTTAATAGTCCTTTCTAAAGCAGGAATACAGATCCAAAAACTCCAGATTTTGCTCTTAATAGTCTTTTTCCAAAGCAGGAATACAGATCCAAGAACCCCAGATTTTGCTCTTAATAGTCTTTTCCAAAGCAGGAATACGGATCCAAAAACTATCAAGTTGTTAGGAAACGTATCATTATAAGGGGTTGCAAACTCTACCTGGAATCTGAGAAAGGGATTGCCCGCAACAACCCCAACACTCCCACCCCCCACACAACAAACCCTTTTTTTTCTCTCTCATCTTGTACAACTCACTACGGAGCATACTTAATATTGAAGATAGAGCCCCATTGAGAACATGGCATTAACCAAAACCTTCACTGCCCAGGAGATGCATCCCATCCCTCCACCACATTCCTAAATGCTAAAGGCAAGTATAACAACATGGTAAATCAATACCATATCTAGTGCTTAAGGGTGCTGATAAAATGATTATTTGTGCTAATAAAATGATATTTGTTTAATATTCTAAAAGAAGTGGATATAAAAGGAACTGACTAATCTCCAGTACATACCTTCATATCCAAATGCCTGAAGCATTTTTGACACAATTCTGAGGCATGTAGGATCACTTTCCACAACCAAGATTCGAACACCTATAGGAAATGAGCCAGCGTTATTTTCTGTAACTTCAACTGAGAGAACCTGCTCACTACTCATGTTTGGAACAAAACTTTGGAGAGAGAAAGAGATGATTAGACAGCCACACACACAGAGACTCAGAAAGAGATGCTTGGGCTGTAAATATAGTATGTGTGCTTTTATTGAGGTGCCTATATATAACCAATAATCAAGTTCAAGAGAGAGAGAGAGGTAATTTACAGGCACACACAGAGATACTCAGATAGAGATGCTTGTGCTTTTATTTTGAGGTGCCTATACATAACCAATGATCAAGCACATATGGTAGCTACCCGAAGACAGAATCTTATTGAGCTTGTTTTTTGTGTTTATAGTTGAGGAAAAAGATTTGTATAGTTCTCCACACAAGTGAGATTATCCTGTCCGTTCACGGTATGTGGAGTCCACATTATGGATGGACAAAATCACTTGTGTCACACAAGTTCAGATGCTTATCCAAAAGCATTCCCCCGACAATGCTCCGTTGTCAAATCCAAATCAGAAAGCTCCTCATTAATTCACTCAAGAAAACAATTAAAGCGTATCTAGAATTTAAGCTCATCTATAGCAAATAAAAAGGTCAAGGAAAATTTTTGACAATCACTTGAGAAGATATGCATAGCATTCTAAAACGGTAACAATAGCCTAACTGTCAATTGAAAATCAATATTAGTCAACACAGTTTAATTAGCTTTCCATTATCCCCCCAAGACTTCCATATATACAGAACTCCAAAGCTCCAGGTCACTTGTTGAGTTTCCTTAGTGCACAATGCTCCTTATTTGAATACATATGAAAACCCTTGTGCATAAAATTTTATAAAGCACAGATATACCTTAACTGAATAAACTACTATTGTTACCTAAATACACTTGTGAAATCTGATACCAATTAACTACTATTGTTACCTAAATACACTTGAGAAATCTAAGAACAATTCGTACCAGACAAGGGACCTTTATGCATGTAATGACAGGACTCGCTCCTAGACGAGTTCAACTCAATGGTTTTGGGATAAAAACCGATGCTTTACTTCGCAATATAGGGGACAGAATAAAAAAAAAAAGGGTGTTTAAAAGCTTATTCAATATCTCGTAACGCTAACAGACCAAAGTTATCAACTTCAACTTGAGTTCGATCTAATAAAATACTCATCATACAAACAAGCCAAATTTTGCAATTTTTTTTATGAACAATTGAATACTCGGTTTGAAATGTCTGTAAGCATAAATTATATTTTTAAATAATTACCTAAAAGATAATTAAAAACTAATGCTTTATTACATCTTGAGTGCAAAATAAATATAAACCATGCCTAAGGATGATTCTAACATTCAAGTTGAGGCCAGCATATATAGCGTCGAGATAAAAGAATTAGGTGTTAATTAAAACCTATATTAACATTTTTTTTCATTCACTTCATTTCCTATGATTGAACAAGCTCGTGCTTCGGAAAAAATATTAACAAATCAAGTTTAAATACTATTTTGGAAGAATTCAGATCCACTGGAAATCAGTAACGACTATTCACTTCCATGATATCCTTGCTCTTGTTTGTCTATATTTCGAGTAACACCACAAAAGAAGTTTCTTAAAGGGCATACAGAAGGTATTTGGCAACGAGAGGATGGGTGAATGAAACAACCAAACACTAGATAAGGAGTATGCGAGATAACATAGAGATAACATAAAAATTAGGTGTTTGATAGTGCAGGTGAAGTGTTCAAGAAAATACTGATCTAAGAATGGATTCAGTCCAGAGAGAAGCAGCCACTATTATATCTACACATGGTTGATTACAATCAGAGGTCCTTTTTGATACTATTGGTTGATTACCCAATTGACACTCATGTTTCCCATATTTTAACAATTTTTTTTCTGTAAAACATTATATTTAGAGCCTGGAATTGGTACCCTGTAGTTAAAATGTAAAACTGGTGTTTAGCAGCAAAGGTGAACCAAAGCAACCCTTTATAAACAGATTGCAAAAATAAAAGGCTGCATTTTCAACAAAGAGAAAAGGCTGGCTTCTCTACAATTCACCAAAAAGTAGACTTTTCATTCACGTACAAAAAAACTCCACTTATCCACAATAATGGTCCTGACACTAAAAGTTTATTTACATCTTCATATCTAAAGTCTGTAAATGTGCTACTCAAACAGAAGTCGGCGTCTCACAGATTTTGGAAGGTTTGTACTTGAAACCTTGTTCTTCCCTTTTGATGGCCCGTCCTCTTGATTTTCAGAATTATTGGCTAGATCTCCTTGTTTTGTGTGAATTGCTGCTACCTTAGCAGACCGGTAAAATTCTGTTAATCTAAGTTGGACACGTTTTGACTTTGGTGATTCTGACTTTTCACTGGACCCTTCATTTTTAAAGCCTGAACCCTTTCTTCTTTTCGATGCTTTCAGTTCCTGCCAATTTTCAACCACAAAAGTAAATAATCTGGCAGGCCCATAGACTCTCATTTCCAATACCCTTATATACATGTAAAACAGGCAGCATGATAACAAACTAAACAACTTCAACGACCTAAAGTCCTCAAGTTTTACCATAAAGGACTTGAAGAAAAGGACTGAGCACCCCTGATTAACTCAGGCCACCATTAAGCACATCAACTTTTCAACTGAAACTAACATCCTTGTTTTGCTATCCTTCATCCAAACAGAAAACCCATCTTCAATTTTTTCAACGTTTTGTATCTCATAACCTCTCATATATACAATCACCTCCGAATAAACTAGTTCTTATCTTGTCACTCGTTCATTTGATATTCCCATTTGCACTATTCTGCATCTTGGCCTAATGAAGCATGGGCTATGGTGCAATTTCTTAAAAGCTATTAAGCTCATACAAAACAAAAACCAGGATCAAAGAGCACATAAAATCAATTCTCCAATTCCTTCTTGCTTCTCTCCTTAGGCCATCAACTCCATGTACTCAGAGATTCCTATATAAGAACTAATCTTTGGATATTAATTTATGCTAATTACATTTTGATACATGCTTGATGGTTCTATATTATTAATTCAAATTTGCTAAATCATAAAGGAAAACAAGAAAATAGGATATCCATGATTTTATATACATATATATATATATAAACAGCAATTTGACAAAATGATAACGTGAAGAATGGAAAGGAGATCATACCTTCTCATGCCAAAATCTTTCAACGTCTTCTGGAAAAGCACTACGAATAAGCTCCATATTTTCATCTGTCAACAGGAAGCAACACTCATCATCAACATGAATCTGGGGGGCAGTATCCTCATCCAAATGATCAATGAATTCATCAATTTCAACGATCTCTTCTTGAGGCTTGTCATACTCTTCAACAGAGTTGGTACAGACAATACTGCCTGCTGTACTTGTCACTTTTCTCCACCTGATCACATAACATTGGTGTCCATATCTTATTTTCACACGCTGAATAGAATCAAATACATACTGCCCATACAACATAGTTTTCTCAGGCTTGGCAGCCATTTCTCTCAAATATATGGTGGACAACATGGGAAGCATTCTCTGTCGAACATAAGATGGTTCCCAATGCTGATGAAAATCCAAGAAATCAACTAGTATTTCAGTTTCTGGGCATCTCCATGATAAACACAAGCCATCACCAGCTATACAAGAAATAATTCCGGGCTTAATAAGGAACCAGAAAACAGTAAAATGATGTGCACTTCAAAAAAATTAAACAAGGTTGAGACAGAAGACTGGCTCCAATCAAAGCTTCAAAAAGTAAGAAGAAGCTGCAAACATATCCACCCTACCCCTACATCTAACACCAGCCCTAGTCCAAGAGGAAAAAAAGCTTTCTGCAATGTTCCAAGGCAGAATATATATAATTTTGAAAAAGTAACTCAAAATGGAACAAAGAAACCTCACGAGATAGTTTAGACTAGATCATCTCAGTTAACAAAACTTGAAATAACTTTATTTATATAACATGCAATCCTCATCATGCTGCCAATACCAGTAAAGTTTCCATGTTTGTTGCACAAATACATTTGAATAATATCATCATTGGGAAAGTTTGGCTCCGTGGATATCTTGTTGCAAACTTTTATGTGCCAATTTTCATGCTTTTGCTGCTCCTTTTCTTTTCGATCCTGCCAGTCAAACGCTTTTAATGATGGTATGATTAATCCATAATATAACTAAAGAAAAAACTCAGCAGAACAGTAAAAATAGACCTTATTACAGGAGGAGCAATTACACTTAAAACCCTCTGCCTTTCTTGTGCAACCCTGACTGGTACTAGTCCCACAATATTCACAAGATGACTTGAAATGTGCTCTTTTGCTGCCTGGATGCCCACAGAAGGAGCAATGAGAAGTTTTCGACCTTGCTGGGCTTTCATCTGGACAAAGCATTATTTCATCTACAACTTTTGAAACAATTTGAAGTGAAGGAGAGTTCCCGTTGCTGATTTCATGTAACCTGCATAGAGCACAAGTTGGATCTCAGCTCAATACCACATTATCACATAGCATTATTTTCAAGTACATAACAACAACAACAACTGAATTGGAGACAGGTATAGAAGCAAACTGATTCAATATCTCATCTTCACTGAAACTTTGGACAAAACGAAGAGCCTTCTCAAGCCCAATCCCTTGCACACCATTAAGATCATGATCATTGCCAACCAAAAGGGAAATGGCTATCAAGTGTTTCCTCTTCAACCCAAGACCAGCTTCAACATCTGATATATGGTAGCATTCAAATGGTTCCTGCGCAGTGCGCACAATGTCAGTCACGTTTCAAATTTGGTAAAGAGCCATTTAAGAAAGCAATTTCAATTTCCCATGACATTCGGAGCAGTAAAGAGGTCTATAAAACTACCCCTGCATTGCAGGAAATTGAGAAGTTATTATTTGAGCTACTTCCAAATTTACCTAAAACTCACGGATAATAAGAAAACCAAGTACAGGACGCCTAAAACTTACTTTGGTATTAGGCTTGATGCATTTTATCACACACTTAGCCCCAAAAAGGAAAGCATCACTATCAGCTGTTATACAAGCATCCACATGGCCTTTGGCATTTAACTGAGCACACAGTGCTTCAGCTTCACCATTGGCCTTTAAAACAGGCATCCCAAACAGTTCAAGCAGTTCCTATAAAAAACACT